CTAGTCCTCCAAATGACTGGTATTAGTTTTGTTATTAGCTAATCTAAGGATAGTTAGATGCACACGATTGCCAGTCCTCCAAATGACTGGTATTAGATTTGTTATTACCTAATCTAAGGGTGGTTAGATCCACAAGATTGCTAGTCCTCCAAATGACTGGTATTAGTTTTGTTATTAGCTAATCTAAGGATAGTTAGATGCACACGATTGCTAGTCCTCCAAATGACTGGTATTAGTTTTGTTATTAGCTAATCTAAGGATAGTTAGATGCACACGAATACCAGTCCTCCAAATGACTGGTATTAGTTTTGTTATTAGCTAATCTAAGGGTGGTTAGATGCACACGATTGCCAGTCCTCCAAATGACTGGTATTAGTTTTGTTATTAGCTAATCTAAGGATAGTTAGATGCACACGAATACCAGTCCTCCAAATGACTGGTATTAGTTTTGTTATTAGCTAATCTAAGGGTGGTTAGATGCACACGATTGCCAGTCCTCCAAATGACTGGTATTAGTTTTGTTATTAGCTAATCTAAGGATAGTTAGATGCACACGATTGCTAGTCCTCAAAATGACTAGTATTAGTTTTGTTATAAGTCTTCCACAAAAGAAGTTTGTTGGAGTAGTTGTAGTTTTATTCTCTCTATATGAACACTGTTTGGTCGCTCTGCTTTTATCTAATTTTTCTTTTTTTGTAAATGCTTCTATCAACAACATTGGTTTCTAAAGAGTGACGTCATCTATCAGCTTTGACAAATGGTGTTCGTGTTTGAGACATTAAGAGATCAGAGACGTCTGCGAAGAAACTAAAGTGACTGACTGCAAAACATATATTAACTCTGCTATATCGTCGTTACATATATAATCAAACCAGATTTCAAAAACATGTTTTATTGCCAAAAAAATCGAAACAATCTTACATTATAGAAAACTGAGTGACATTATTACTTCAGAAATAACATCCCGTACGTTTTCATTGTTCTATACATTTCTTTCTTTTTACTGCTTTTCTTTGGCACTAAGTGATAACATAAAAATGACACTTTGCACGTGACAACAGAGCCTCGCTTTTCACACCTAAGTTATTATTTTAGACAAAAAGAGTTAAAAAGCAGGCATCATTCTAATGTAGTCTAAGACATTTCCTACCGTGGTTGTGGTGGTATCAGTATTTGTTGCCTTGATGCGATCATTAATATAAGTGTCCAAAACCTCTGCCTCACGCTTCAGCGAAGAAGGGTATTATTACTTTTTAGGCACATGCATTTAATTCTAAAATTACTGTTATATCATGATGAAGATTCTACTGGGTTATTATTTCATTATGTTTAGAAGGCTGAAAACATGAACTTTATCACATTCTGTACGCAGTTGTAAGTAACAATATTTCACCTGCTAACCCTAAAATTAAAGTGAATAGAAATATTGAAAAATAGGATTTATGAGATTATATGTAAACACAGGGTAAACTGCTTTAAAACTGTCTACTAAATACCCAGAATATTATATGTCACAGGCCACATTTAATGACAAAGTTAAGGTTTAAAAAAAGGGACTTCTCCGTAGTTTTAAGTATCTTTAAATAGAAATTCACATTTATTACAAATTATTAATTCAAATAACTTATAAATTTTATTTTTGAGGATCATAGATTTATCCGAGTTCATTTATTTAAAGTATGCATGATTATAAGTACGTGTATGTAACGTGTTTATTTTTAAGCCCTCCCCACTATAAACTCGTAGATACGCCAGTTAAAAGACATTATTAGAGTTAATTGAATACTACACATGCAAGCAGCGAAAAATTGGACGTTAAATATTGTACTCGCCAGTAATTAATTCCCAGCATGGCCAGATGGTTAGGGCGGGTCGCGGGTTCGAATCCCCGTCACACTAAAACATGCTCGCCCTTTCAGCCGTGGGGGCGTTATAATGTGACGGTCAATCCCACTATTCGTTGGTAAAAGAGTAGCCCAAGAGTTGGCAGTGCGTGGTGATGACTAGCTGCCTTCCCTCTAGTCTTACACTGCTAAAATAGGGACGGCTAGCGCAGATAGCCCTCGTGTAGCTTTGTGCGAAGTTCAAAACAAACAGTAATTAATCGTTCTAACGTAAATACTTCATGCGATATAACAACTTCGTCGGCAGTGGATGTGACAATTATAGTGTGGTTAGAATACTATTATTATAGGCTCTTCTAATTCTTGAAAATCCCATAGAGACTAAATTTAAAATACAGTATTTAAAACTGTAATACACCTAACACTAATGTCTGACTAAATTCTTCTCCGACTTGCAAAAGGCGTACACATTATAACAATTGTTCTGAGCTAGTTATTCACTTATTGGTAAAGTTTATATTTTTTCCCAAACTAGCATTTTCCCTATATTATTAGATAAAGTTTTAATCCGTGCCATTAATAAACCCAGTTTCTCTGGTCCACGACTTTCTGTTAATTATAATTAAACAACCCTACAAAAAAAAAAAACATACGTGGAGACTATAAGGATAAACTAACAGGTCTAACCTTTTCTTCGAAAATTGAACGCCCCCCCCCCAGTGGCACAGCAAAATGTCTGGGTACTTACAACGCTAGAAACCGGGTTTCGATACCCGTGGTGGGCAGATAGGCCATTGTATAACTTTGTGCTTAACTTGAAACAAACACAATTTGAACTGCATCCACATATCTCTATAAAGCCCATTGGCGCTAGAAATTTGAATATTATTATCCACACAATCAGAACTTGATAGATCTCGTTACCCTATTCTAAATGTAATACCTATTATAATTCATTTTTTGTAGTGAACTAACTTTTGCTTAAAGTTTTTTTACAAACAAACACCAATTTGAAAACGTAAACTTTTAAAAAGTTTATCCATTTTTTTAAGTTATTTGAAAATTAAAAGACAGACAAACTAACCATCGAGCGTTTTATTTACACTTACTCGGCACCGTTGCACAATCTCTTCGTAGTTTCTATGTGCAAAAAAGGCATCTTGGTTGATACTACTATGAAAAGTTGTCATCCACGAGCACACCTAGCAGAACCAGCAATATAAACAAAGGCACTTTCTGTTACGTAGACACTCGTCGGTACCTGAGGGAACGCGCCCTGCCGCCAAATTACTCAACAGCCGATTCACTGAACAACCGATGAGCATGCGCTTTGTTGATGGACTCTGGGAACTAGGATAACATTTCCACAAGTTGATAACTGTTTGTTTGTTTG